CATGGGCAGGTTCCCACCCACCAGCTCAGGCTGCCCAGGGCCCCATCCAACCTGGCACCTTCAGGTATGGGGCACCCACAGCTCTTTGGGCAGCCTCAGCCAATTCCTCACCACTCTGAGTAAAACATCTAACCTAAATCTCCCTTCTTTTAGTTTTGCTCCTTCTACTCAGTCCTAAATTTCTGGCTAGTGTTTAGATGACTGCAGCATAATGAAGATGTCTAGGAGTGTTTTTGATTCTTGGCTCATATTTTTGAAACACCTCGACTGAAGTTCTGGACTTCCACTTTGATTGGTCTTCAGTGGGCAGTGTGAAGCATTTCAGGCCCTTCTGAAACTCGGAGCTGGAATAAGTGCCTGAATAGATAATGCCAATTATACACAAATACTGTACATTTTCTATCTGAACGTGTCTTGATGAAACACTATTTTTTTCCACATCCCTCTGCCTCTTCTAAATCCCCCCCATATGAAAAGTGATCAGTCTAAATTGATGTGTTTTGGAGCTGTCACTTCCATATCTAATTCCCTGTTTATTTGGATGGACCCTGACTAGACTACGTCATCCGTGATGCACTGCTGTCTCTTCTCTGTCTGAGGAGCTGTAATTCATGACTGAAAATGCACTGGTAGAAATCCAAGCCAACGTGAACTCCCCAGTCCTTCGGGGACCTGGCAGGATTCATGTAGTAGAAGACCTGACTATTGATCCAGGAGTTTAAGCTGATCCAGATCAGCATGGTTTTCCCCTTAAAATGACACTGCTCAGGAATATCAGCAGAGGTTTTTGACCTGCTCAGGAATGGAAACTCCAGTATTCCAGCTCTTCTTCCTGCTGAGACAGGAGCAAAAGCAATAAGAGATGAATTTGGCTATTCTGATTTCCACATCCAACTTCTCAGTGGCTCCAGAAGAATCATCTGGAAGGTACCTTGCACCATTCCTTGCCATGGTTTGCCAGCTGGGTGAGGATTTGGGGAGAAAAACCACAGCTCTGCACCTGCTTCCTTCAGGGTCTGTGCTCAAATAGCGTGCAATGAAACGTCTTAGCAACTGAACACAACATTGCCCTTATCTTCAGCATCAAGGGACTGAGGAGCGGGTGATGATCCACCTCCCATCAACCACTCGCTCATTAAAAGCACTGAAATCTCATTGATGGTTGATTTTTTTTGTTTTGTGCTGCAGGTTTCATTCAAACACACTGCACATGCCTCTGATCTTGTGGTCCTTTCAAACCCAGTCTGTATGCAGGCTTTGCTCGGCATTCCCAAGACTGGCAGTGAATTTTAATGCTAACTTATCAAAGTCACAAAGGGAAACAGAACCCCCTCCTGAATGTAGCTGGAAATGGAAGAATGTATTTGCTAAGCTGTCAGGACAGTGGTTTTTTTGGCTACTCCTGATCTCACCGGATCTCAAAACATATTGTGGATTCGCTTCTCTTTCTGTTGAGACCAAGGCTGATGTTCTTGAATGATTTGCTTGCCCAGTTTTATATATCATACACTGTGAGTAAATTTGGGATTGTGACAGCTCCTTAAAAGTCATCCGCTTGGAAAAAATTACTTGCTGTCAGAGGAATAGAAATAAGATGGTCTCTGCTTCTTGTACACGGTCAGGATGACAAGGACTGTCATAAACTTCAGATGTTTTTCCTGATTCTGATTCAGCTTTTGGGCCATTTTTTCTTGTATTTCATTGGTGGAGGCATAAATGCAGTAAAAAGGAAGTGTTTAACTGATGGTTTTAAGTTGGATGTCTTGTACTGATGTAAGTGACAGTGGGATGGCACACATAAAGGGGCTTGGGCTGCCATCACCGCGTTGTCTGTAGGATCACTGCTAGCCCAGCTCAGCCCTGCAGGCAGCTCTTGGCCATACGAGGATTTTGGCGTGGACTGAGACAGGTGAGCACTCATGGTACGAGCTCTGAGCATTTCCACAGAGCTACTCTGCTGGCAGCAGATTTGCTGACTGTAAGGAAGCACAAGCTGCCTCTGCACTCTGGCTTTTGTGATATGGTCCATGTCCAACCATGGGCCATGGCGTTGCCTTTGCCACCTTTGTTTTATGAGGTTCCTCTCCTTTTTGTCTGTGGCTTTCCCGTCTGTGGTTTGGACTTATTTTTCTGGTTGTCTTCAGGCCTTGGCTGATATTAAAATTTCCCCCACGGCCTGTTTTCATTTGATATCTTGTCTATTTTCTCTTGACATTGCTTGGCTAACATGGACACTCTAGCATAGTCCTTTGGCTTGAATGAACACTCAGGATATGTCATTTAAATACTCTGATTATGTATTTATTTGACTTTTAGCTTTCTTCTAGCCTAGGACTCTGCACTTCTTCAATGACAGTAGGTTTGGCTGCACTCTAACAACCTCCCCACGGAAGCTACAGTAATGCTTTTTGTTACTGGTGTTTTTTTAGAGCTAGCTTCTCCTTTTCAACTTTCTTTTCCGCTTTGAGGCCCTGTGAAGATCAGGATCATCTTTTGCTCCTCTTACACTTTGCTCCTTTCAAGTCAGTGGCTTTGAGCATCGCAGACCTGGAAGACCAACCACCAACCTGATGGGGAGTTTAGTATCACAGAATCATTAAATGGTTCTCACTCTTCTGCTTTGAGCTGTTCACATACTTATTAACTATGCATTATCAGCCTATGTACTGCTGGAATGACAGTTCCAATGCATGTTGCCCAAGGAGGCTGTGGATGCCCCATCCCTGCAGGCATTCAAGGCCAGGCTGGATGTGGCTCTGGGCAGCCTGGTCTGCTGGTTGGTGACCCTGCACACAGCAGGGGGTTGAAATTAGATGAGCATTGTGCTCCTTTTCAACCCAGGCCATTCCATGATTCTATGATTCTGTGTTTCCTGTGGTCTTTTCTCTCCATCAGGACAGAAGGCTTAGCAGACACCTTGCTCCCCATCAATCTGCTTTGGGAACCAGTTCTGTGCGGCTCTGAGCGGCCCCCTCAGCGTCTTTTCAGATCCTGCTGAGCTGCCATTCTTGGTCCCCTAAGCCACGAAACTCTAGAAAGCTGAAATGCCAGATGAGGTGATGTGTGATTTATTAGACACTACATTACAATACTGTGTAAGCTGTAAAAATCAGGGGAATTTTGGAATTCATTTATGCGTCAACACTGCGGAGCAAGAAGTCACATCAGGAAGATCCTTGGTAGGAAAAAAGGCATCTGGAAGCCTTGATACCAGCAAAGTGTCATCAATTTGGAAGGGAACCACGGAAAAAGTACTGGAGAAATTGCTGAAAGGACTCCCTTGGCCTTTAGGAAAAACGAAAATAACAAAGCTGTTCAATTTATAAAACAACACCATAAATGATTTACTGCAATTTTTTCATAACCATATGAAATATATTAAGAGGAAAATATATGTCAAGAGAGTTAGTAATCAGTATCAAGTGGCAGATGACATTTTGATTTCTGATCTCACTTTAATGAGCATTCAGCTAATAAAAATAGCCCAGATATCTGTCATGGAACATGCCAGCACATGCAAATTAGTCCTTGACTGATAGTTGATATGTGTCTGCTTGTCTAAAACACACGGGTCATTTAAGCTGCACGTAAACCTCATACAAGATATGGGTGGAAGTGAATCCTATGAGAAGCCTCTGGTCCAAAACTGAAAGAACAGACTTGTAGCAAAGAGATCTCATTCTGAATGGCATCATTTTATATGATCTTCGCTTCTGGGAATGGGAAAGTTTTCCATGGTTAGGTAATCTCATTCCCTGCTCCAACGTGGACTGGATTCTGAAAGCAGAGCCACAAAGGAAAACCTGTCAGGAATAGTTCTAGTGATCCAGCTTCTGTCTCATGCTCCTGCATGTCTCTGGGCAAAACAGACAACGTCTGGGCCCCACGTCGGGGCAAATTCCCAGCTGTGATTTACTGAGCTCCTCATTGGGTTTTCTTTCTGGTTATCTCTGGACTTTTCCAAAATCCCTTTGTAGATACAGTTTCTTTCTAGTCTGAGCAATCTGATAAAAGAAATAATGCAGAGTAGAAGTCACAGGCTTCCCTGCAGTGAGGAGCTCCAAGTCAAACACTGAGCACTCCAACCTAAAGAGGTTTTTCTGTCCTAAAGGAAGAGACAAACAGCAGGCACGCTTTCTGTGGCACTTTTTGTAAACATTTTGCAAGCAAGGAAGTGCCATTATTATTAATGCAATTAATATGCAATTGTTCCCCACTTGGGATCCACTTCACGCCACGGACCGTCCTCATGACCCCGCTCTGAGCTTTAGAGCCCAGCTGCTCTCTGAAACCAGATGTGGTACTTGCAGAACAGGATCACAGAACCATTAAGGTTGGAAAAGACCTCTAAGATCACTGAGTCCAACCCCTCCCCACCGTGCCCACTGACCACGTCCCTCAGTGCCACATCTCCATGGTTTCAAACACCTCCAGGGACGGCGACCCACCAACCACCTCCCTGGGCAACCTGTGCCACTGCAGCACCACTCTTACAAAAGGATAAAATTTCCCTAACAGAAACCATCAGACACTGCAGCACATGAACTGCAGAGTTGCTATCACCCCTTGGATGGCAAGTAGAAACAATTACCCCCAATTCTTTCTACTGCAATGTCACAACCATCAGGTCTACCCCTGGGCTCTTTGTTGCACGAAGGTACAATTTCAACACGCAGCAGCAAAAAAGTTCTCCTGATTTGCTTCCCTTGGATGGGGGTTGGACAGAGGGGAAGCATGAGATAATGAGCTTCGACCTTAACTGTAGGCAGCTTTAGCTGGGGTGACAGATTCCTGCTTTGCTAATGCCTTGCATGGACTGCCCAGCCCTGTGTCTCCTGGGTGCCTGTGCTGCTATACTTGTAACGCTATTAATATTTGCATGTCTGAAAATGTAACGCAGGCATTCAGGGGGATGCCTCTTGCATTCCTGCCCTGTGTCACAGAGGCGCTTTTAGCTATTCAAAGCAGAAACATAACCCTCACTATTGTGGACTGCGGGGCGTGCACTGGCATTGCAGCTCAGCTATGTTATTGGCCGTTAAATTATCCGCTCCCTTTCTAAATCTGGTCACAGGACTCGACTTTGCAGACTTTGGCAGGGGTGAATTCCACAGGATGTGGGTCCATTTCCTCTAATTTCTTTTAAATACGTCCACTAGTTAACTTTACTGACTGTTTTCCTGTTCTCATTTCAGGGAGCAGGGGTGAAGTGCAGGGAGACGGAGCAGCTCACGTGGTGGCACTTCTGTTCCCCTCCTGCTGCAGCTGGGTGCTCACCTTCCCATTGCCTTCCCTGGCCCTAGAAACTTACTGAAGATGCACAAGTAAGAAACCTCCTTGCTCCTTTTGCAGTCATGACAGCAGATGCAACTCCTCCAAAGAGGCCGATTCCATTTAGCTTAAGGTTTATTCACCCCTGCAGGGATGCCCCATCCCTGGAGGCGTTCAAGGCTGGGCTGGATGGGACCCTGGGTGCCCTGATCTGGTGCCTGATTTAGGGTTTGGCACTGGATGACCTCTGAGATCCCTTCCAACCCAAGGGGCTGAGGCTTTGGTGTCCTCCCTTGCCTTCATCCATGCTCAACACTGGGGTTTCTGCATTCCCAATTCAGGCCAATGTTCTTCTCGGCAGCACTTCAGTTTCACTGGGAAGAGGCAGCGATGTGCAGAGCTGGGAGCTGCTGCTTCCCCCCAGCTCTTCACCCGGTGCTGAGTCTGGGTCTGCCCTCCATGTGGTGCTGTGTGGTGGGAAGAGAAAGGAGACAGAATTCCTGCCAGCATAGGGACTCCTAGCACAGGGATCTATAGTCTGGCATGGCCCAATCTAAATGCTCCAATTTGGTATTTTGATTCATTGAGAGTGATGTTTATGGGCCTTTTGGAGTCCTTAGAAATTAAGATCATGGAATCACTGTGGTTGGAAAAGACCACTACGATCATCTAGTCCAACTGCCAACTCATTAAACATGCAGTCAGGAGAGGGATCAACCTTTACTGACTGCAGCACTTCTTACATATCTCCTGAATTTGGGTATTGATAGGAATTGAAACCATTTGGTAGTTTTCTTACCTTTTTCCCTCCTCCTCTGTGCTATTGAGAATTGCCCCACATTCCCTTAAATTGCCACTAGTTATTTAGTAGCTCCCAGCGAGAATTTTGTATTTATTGGGTATTTAAACATTTTTATCACTGATTCTGTTCAAAGAAGAACTTTCTTTTTTGCAGGAAAGAAATTACAAAATGCTGATCTCACAGCCTGTCTCAGTATTTCATTTTGATAATGCTGACCTGGTCTGTTACGAGACTGGTGAATTGCTTCATTTTGGTGACACAGAGGGCTTTTATTTTGAAAACGCCACGACATCACAGTTTGTCATAAAGTGAAATATAATGTGAGAAATGTCAAATGGCTTCGGAAGCAGCAGCCTGTAAAACACAAGTCAAATCTGAATGAATCAAAATAATACAGCGGATAGATGCATTTTGTTTACCAAAAAGGATTATTTAAAACATCACTGAAATGAAATGGGACTGAATGAATGGCGCTGAAATGAAATTCAGCACTTCTCAGTGATGTTTCCTAGCATTCCCAGATTTCAATGAAACGCTGCTCTGGCTGTAAATCTGTTATCTTAAACCTCCTCACTGCTCAGCTCTCACTCTTTTCTATAGTGACACACTGTTGTCTCATAATTCATTTAACTTGGGATTTTGTCTTTCTTCCACCGTCTAAAATACAGATAGAATTTCCAAGGTAGTTCTGGACACTCACAAGATTCTGGTCAAAGAGAGACAGGATCCTCCATGGATTCATTTCACCCTCACGTGGTGCTTGAGTATCTAGGATGAATCACCTAACATGGAGGCTGGGATGACTTTCCTGCAGCTGCCTCAGTTTGCTTGGGAGAACGTGTCTTGCTGATGTGAGTGGTTTGGGTCACCTGAGGATGACCCAATTCCATGGGCTGGAGCAGAGTGTGACCTGTCAACAACAACAGGACACAGCAAGTCTTCAGCAGGACGGACACCTCCTGGCTGCACCGCAGCACGGATAGGAAAGGCACATCTGACACTCAGGGGTGGATAACAGACAACGTCCCAGTGCACACCTCCCCACAGATGGAGTAGCTTCACCAGGAGGCTTTGGTGTTGGATGCAGGAGTCCCTGGGTGTAGACTTTCCATGTCCATGAAAGACTGGAATATCCTTTAGACCCCTTTTAGTGATCTGTGGTCTTCACCAAGACAACGATTTCCTTTTCCATCAGAGGAAACTGAACAACTTCTCTGGGCAAGAAATGCACAGATTTCTCTTACCTAGCACAGGGCACTCCTGGAATATATTGAGGTGTTACCACAATAGAAGATGCCAGCAGTGGCGTCCTATGGAGGCCTATGGAAGAACATCAATGTGACATGCACCATAGTTGAAACAGTCAATGTTCATTTTTCCTCTGAGATTCTTTCCCTTCTTCATCCAAGAAAGAATCCCTTGAACACCAGTTCCCCATCAGTGGAAGGAGCAGCAGATCTTCAGCAGCAGCAATAATGAAACTCAGAGGTTGGAAGGGGACCGAAGGAAAAACACTCTGCAGAGGTTACCAGGCCAAAGCCCCGGGGCAACTGAAAGCTAAATTAAAAGGGGGGAAAAAAAAAATGAATATCCCATACTAAACCAAAAACCAAAACCCTAATGAAAACACTAAAAGCAATGATTAATATGACAACTGGGCAGCTTTCCCCGAAGACACGAATTCCCATCAGGGTAATCAAATTTGTCTTAAAAATGATAAATAGCTCTACCACTAACCTAAAAATGTACCTTGATCCCACCAAGCTCAATCCCTTCAAACACTAGCTGCTTCATTAAAAAAAAAAAAAAAAAAAAAAATTAAATAAACAAATAATATAAAACAAAACCCACAGTCCCAACACAGACTTTTTCAAAGTTACCTCAGTCTTTTTTGGCTGTTCAATCCACTCCCTGGTGTCCAGGTGTAAACAATTCCCAAAAAGAGACGTCTGTATCCCTGAATTCCAGAAGAGGTAGAGCTTTGTCTTTCTTTCCCAAAAAGGCCGCCTTTATGCTGAGTTTCTCAACCAAACTGGGGATGTTTAGGCCTTTTGATTATTTTTCCCTTCCTTTTTTTTTTTTTTTTTTTTTAAACATTCCCCTCTGCTCCCATTGGTGGCCCTTTATTTCTTAATGACATTCTTCTTCCTCTTGCGCAAAGCTATCTCATCTCCTTTTCCACTGCCTGCTCCCCACAAATCCCACATGCCTTGGCAAACCTTTGTGCTTCATACCGATGCTTGATGCCTGTCCTGGCCCTGAGGAGATGGACTGGTTCTAGCAAGGCTTTCCAGGCCAGGATGAAAAGGGGCATTTGTGAGCATGGTTGTGTAAGATGGGTCAAATGTCACATCTATCCCTAATAATAAAGCTCTGAGCCTTTGGGCATCAGTCCTTTACGGTGCTTTTCATTGCAAGTCTTGCTTGCAGCTCTCTTTTCCTGGCAGCTTGTGGATTTTGGAGGAAGGAGTGGGGCTGGATGAGTGGTCTTGAGGAGAGAAAAAATTGATCTGGACCACCTGAGGTCTGCCCAGAGAGGTGGTGGATGCCCCATCCATGGAGACATTCAAGGTGAAGGTAGATGGGGCTCTGAGCACCTGATGGAGCTGTGGGTGTCCCTGTTCACTGCAGGGGAGATGGCCATTAAAGATCCCTTCCAACTCAAATGATTCTGTGAATCCACGATTCCTGGCTTTGTGACTTTGCAATGATTAAACAAAGTAGAGCTATGCAATACTACCTTGAACCAAACAGAATTTGTGATATTTAAGCTGATTTTATGTCTTTCCTCTCTGCATCTTCACCACCACCAGCTCTTATCACAATGCCATTATCTTTGTGTTTCTCAGGATGGTTTTTATGAAGTGACTCAAGGATAGATCTTGCACTGAGGGATGTGGTTAGTTGGCATGGTAGAGATGAGTTCGTGGTTGACTTTTGGATCTTTGTGGTCTCTTCCAACCTTAATGATTCTGTGTTCCTATGAGTATGCTGCAGAACTGAGGGATGGATGTGGATTCTTCTGTAGTTTCTAACAATTGTCTCCTTTATATAGATAGATGGTTACTTAAACCTCAGGCTGCAATCTGTCAATTCAAAACAAAAGTGGTTTTCATACTGGTTCTCAGCTGCAAAACTGGACCCATTGTCCTCCATTCTGCCAACAATCTCCCAGTCAAAAAAAAAAAAACAAAACCAGATGTCAGCAATGCTGTATCACCTTCATTGGGTCAGATGAGCTCTGGAGATCTCTTCCAAACTAAAACATTCCATGATTCTGTGATTTCTGAGATGACAAAGTGAGCCAGTGCCATTGCATTCCCAATGATGGTGGGTCTATTTGGGGTGCACTTCTTTCCACATCATGCCAGCAAGGCAATGCTGGCAGGAGTTTGGGAGAATAGGACTGGCTGTAGTAACTGCTGGTCTGAGACTCGTGAGTTGAACACTGGTATGATTTTGAGGAGTTCCTTGCAGGGAAAAAAAAAAAAGGAATGTGGGACACTTTGTGTTTGTGTATCTCTAGCATTTAGTTTTGGATGAATTCCTGCCTCAAAGGCTCTTTGGATTCCTGCTGGATCCCAGGCTGAATTCATCTGACCAAACAGTGTCTATGTGATAGATATCAGCCTCAAAGCAGTCACTCCATGCTCTCCTTGCTGATATACCAGCGGGGATTAGTGTATAACACATTGCACCTGAGGTGGATATCCAAGATCTGCCATCCGAATCATGCACCTGCTGGTTCCTTTCCCTTCTACTTTAAGGGAGTTTCATATGCCTGTCCCAACCTGAGTAAAAAACATGGGTCTCACCCCACTTCTGTAGCCAGTGAGTTCAGCCTGCGTCTCTGCAGCCTGTTATCCATATCTAAGAACTGGACTCACACGATCTTTTCCAGTGTACTGCTCCTCCCTTTGATGAGTGCTGTGTAAATCTTGTTCTCTGGCTGCACTATGACAGCACATGATATTTCACTGAATACAAGTGGCTGTACATCACACTGCAATCAGTACAGCATTTTTATAGGTGCAATAACATTTAAGGTATTTTACACAGAGCTGTGCCTCCTGCTCAGGGATATGAGACAGATGTAGGTAATAATAATATTGTCCAGAACCACAAATGTCTTTGAAAGAAGCTCTGACACAAATGATTGAGTTTCCTTAACCTCTTATTGCAGAACTGAGCGCAAATAAGGTTTTAGAGTGATGGGTGACTGAGAGTAAATCTGCAAAGGATATGGCTTGTACTAATCTCTGAATTTGATGGAGTAGCTGCCCTCAAGGTGAATGAACTGCCAACTGACTGCCTGCTAATGCTCGTTTCCACTCCAGATTTGCTACTTTATTTCCTCTTGTTTCCCACATCGTTAAAATAATTAGGTCAAGCAAGAAGCAGTAGAAGCAGTACTTTATCAACTGTATCTCCCTCCTTTAGACTCGGACTCTTTGTCAGACCTGATACAGGTATTATGTTCCTGGGGGCTTGTTACAACATTCTCTCTAATTAAAGAAATTAATTCTCCCAGTAATTGCTCAACCTGGAAATACAGGTGGTGTTTTTAGCAGTGGTGAATCTGCCACGCTATTGGAGTAACGGAGGAATATGAGAATTTAATTTAAGATACAAGCAGCAGATAACCTGCTAACAAACACTGTGGGACTAATGAGAAGACTGCACTCCTGACTAGGAAGCTGCCCTGCTGCCCATGAAGGTGTCTACCAAATTAGAAGACTTGTTTCACCCTACAGTTTTCTATATATCAGTCAAACACTGAGACAGGTTGCCAGAAGAAGCTGCTTGGTTTATGGAGGTTTTCAAGATTCAGCCATTCCTGGAGGTCATCTTGGCCCAACTGTGCAACACAGTGAGCAATCCGGTCTGATCTCAGACCCAAACCTGCTTCTGACAGGAGGTTGATCAGAGCCCTCCTCTAGGAGCTCCCTTCCAACCTTTTAACCATTTTAAACTCTACATCTTGGAGCTGGGCCACAATATATACTGAAGAAAGCATCTGGTCCTGATTTTGATAATGTAAGCAAGGCGACGTTTCGGATAGCAACTGAATCATTCTGCAACTGGTCTCCAGTCATACAACAAGGACCATATGCCATGGCATGTGGTGCTGACTGGATGGGAGTGACAGGAGATTATTACAACCTCTTTCATCTGCAGGATAAATCTTCTTAGATGGAGAATCTATTTCCTTAGTGAAGTTGTTCCACTGATTGAATTACGCTTGCCATATTTCTGTGCATAATTACCATTTTGGATCTTTCTGGTTTTCACTGCTATTAAAGACGTTTTCTATCACTGTCTCATGCATGAAAGAGTGTCTAAAACATCAGATAGCTTTTGCCCATGTAGATCTTTCGCAGCCAGGTCTATCATTTCTCGGCCTTCTCTGCAATACGTTTGAACTCCTTGATGTGTTCAGCATAAGATTTGGCAATATCCAAAACCCAAAAGGACAAGGAACATTGTGTCTTGTTGCAAAGCCCCCATCGGTCGAAGTACATGGTTCACAAACGATTCAAGCAAGCCAGTGCCCAGCACTAAGTGCTCCTCCCTTGATTTATATGTTTACCCTCAAAAGAAAGGAAAGAGAAGGCAGTGTGAATGCACCTTGCCGTTGTAAACTCAGAGCAAAAGCTCTGGCACAAAACCAGAGTGAGTTTTTCTGTGTTATTTGGAAGAGACAAAGTTCAGAAGAAAACCTCAGGACACAGTGAGAGTCGTAGAGTGGGGTTACCATGCCATAGAGCTGAGGTAACAAAGGATAGAAGAACTTTAATGGAGGAAGAAATCTAATAAAGAATATTTGTGTTCTTCCCTGCAAAAAATCTCAGATCTCTCAGAGAATAGAGGCTGAACTGTTTTCAGCCCTACCAGTCAAAGGAGATACAGAGAAACATGGCCTTGACTTACTACCTGGAGATGCCTTTCTCTTTCTATTCAGTGCACAGGCAGGGGAAAAAGAGTCTCATCTTAGGTCTTCATCTGCAGGGGTGAAGCCAGACCATACATCAATAGATCTCTTTGGGTCCCATTGGGATAAAGAACAATATTCAGCCAAATTCACGGGTGTGTTTAGGCACTGATGGTTTTTTG